AGTAGTTTCGTGTTTTAAAATCTTTAAAAAAATATAAACAAAAGTAACAAATATATTTAGGGTCACGAAAATTCTGTATCATACATATTGATATGATTACATACAAAATCAACTTCAACAAAAAATATACTTGAAAACTACGAAACAGCTGTTGGAAGTGAAAGAATACACACTGGTCAAGTACCAAAATGGCGTTTTGCGAAACGAACAGTCTCGATTGACGAGATAAGTGAGAAATTTACAGTTTATAACGAAACATTTTTAAGAAAATAAGAAATGGCATGAAGCTATATTATCTCCATCAATGACCATCTGTCGTTAAATGTCAGTGATGAATGAGTTAGTGGTACATCCCGACAATTCTTCTATAGTTAACTGACTATAAAAGTCCAGTTTCCACCCTTGCCGAACTAGGCTGGAATTATGGAGTTACATTTTGGCTGGACTAACGAGTCTATGCATAGTCCAATCAAAATCGCGTAACGAAATCGACATCAGGTTCATAAACACAGTGACTGCCGTACATATTTCGGTCGACTGCAGGATTTGCAGAGCATGTGTGCCGTCAACTGGCCGACGACAGATATTTTCCAAATATTTTCATATTTTCAATCAAGGTGTTCAAGTGATTTGATGCACTTCGCCGCGATTAGATCCGTTTTATTGTAATAAAAAATCATGATTATAGATCAGATCGTCTTGACTGGACAGAGTTGAGTCCCTTGGGTACGCCAGATACCTATGATTGTGGGTTCGAATCCCGGTTCGCCCCGATTATGTTTCTAGGTTTGTCAGCACCATACCCGTGCTCGTGGGTTTCACCGAAGTGGTAAACGTCTGAGACCGGCCTTCCTCCCACATTAAGCTGGCACGCCGTTATATAACCGGAATACTGTTCAAACCCAACACTCACCGACTCTTTTCAGGTAAGTGGTGGATAACCTTCTTTCCAGCTGTATATACAGTAAGTGGTGCTTAAACTTTTCCAGGTATTTATAAAGCTGTGCTTAATGTTTTTTTTCCAGGTGAATATATATTGAATAAACATTGCTTAACTTTTTAAGGTACTTAACTATTTTTCGAGTTGTATATATTAAACTGTGTTCTCCAGGTGTATATATGTTACGTGCTGCTTAACGCTTTGATAGGTGTATTTTAAAGTATTTCCAGGTCTACATACAGTAAGCAGTTCCCAACCTTTTCCAGGTGCATATATATATGGCAAACAATGCTTAATTTGTTTCCAGGTCTATGTATAATTCACCGTTATTAACTTTTTCCCAGGTGCTTCACCTTTTTCCCGAGTTGTATATATATTAAGTGGTGTTGAAATCCAGGTGTATTTATATTTAGTGGTGCTTAACATTTTGTTTGGTGCTTAACATTTTTTCTAGTTGTATATATATTAAACGCTGCTTAACTTATTTCCAGGTGCACATATAGTAAACCGTGCTTAGCTTTTTGCCAGGTGCCTAACCTTTTTTTCCGAGTTGTATATATATGTTAAGTGGTGTTGAAATCCAGGTGTACTTATATTAAGTGGTGCTTAACGTTTTGTCTGATGCTTAACTTTTTTTTCATATATTTATTAAACGCTGCTTATTTTATTTCCAGGTGCATATATAGTAAGCCATGCTTAACTTTTTGCCAGGTGCCTAACCTTTTTTCCGAGTTGTATATAAATATTAAGTGGTGTTGAAATCCAGGTGTACTTATATTAAGTGGTGCTTAACGTTTTGTCTGATGCTTAACATTTTTTTCTAATATATATTAAACGCTGCTTATTTTATTTCCAGGTGCATATATAGTAAGCCATGCTTAACTTTTTGCCAGGTGCCTAACCTGTTTTCCGAGTTGTATATATATATTAAGTGGTGTTGAAATCCAGGTGTACTTATATTAAGTGGTGCTTAACGTTTTGTCTGATGCTTAACAATTTTTTCTAATATATATTAAACGCTGCTTATTTTATTTCCAGGTGCACATATAGTAAACCGTGCTTAGCTTTTTGCCAGTCACTTTTCGTTTCGTGCGTGTGTCAGTGTAGATATGTAGATGCACTGTATGCTAATCCATGTAACCAGACATTAACGCGGGTCTACTTGTCATAACAACAGTTCAGAGAGACACGTATCTCATATAATACTTATATAGCAGGATATAATATAGGTGTTACAGTGACAAGTCGGTGACAACAGGTGCGTGGAGAGAACTCCTTTATGTATTGTGACTCATGGTTCGTACAGGCAGACCGGTGCCTGAGGGCCCACACGCCGAATGCCAGGGTCGATTCCCTATATTATTATTATTATTGCTTAAAGCGGCATAACATAATATTCCCTCACGCGTGTATTCTTTTTGTTCATAATGCACTGTATTTATTACGTAGGGAGGGTATTGGAACGCTTACTCACACGAACGATTCAAATGTCTGTGTCTACATTCAAATTAACAACAACAACAACAACAGCAACAACAACAACAAAACAACAACAACAGCGACAACAATAGTAAGCTATTCAAAAAGCGCGGAGTTCCAGCGAGGTTGCTCACAATCACTTTACAATATTCTTGCCCGGGTCAGTGGATGAGTGTGCATTTGATTTTCATTCTCAGCTCCCTTGGGAGCATACAACCCTAGCTGCCAGTGAGGCTCTAGAAGGTTAACAGTCACATTACCAACCCATCCTACCGGGTGAACAGAGGCATATTTCGAGCAAGGTCGTTTGCATAAAGCGACACCAAAAGGAGATATAATACCCTGGGTGGAAATATAATACTTTGGATGGAGATATAATACCTTGGATGGAGATATGATACCTTGGATGGAGATATAATGCCTTGGATGGAGATATAGTATCCTGGATGGAAATGTAATACTTTGGATGGAGATATGATACCCTGGATGAAATAAACATCCTTGGGTGGAGATATAATACCTTGGATGGAGATACCCTGGATGGGAATACAATACCCTGTATGGAGATATAATACCCTGTATGGAGATATAATACCCTGGATGGAGATATAATACCTTAGATGGAGATAAAATACCTTGGATAGAGATATAATACCTTTGATGAAGATGTAATACCTTGGATGGAGATATAATACCCTGAAAGGGGATATAATACCCTGGATGGGAATACAATACCCTGTATGGAGATATAATACCCTGGATGGGGATATAATTCTTGGGATGGAGGTTTAATACCTTGGATGGAGATATAGTACCCTGGATGATGGAGATGTAATATCCTAGATGGAGATGTAATATCCTAGATGGAGAGGCAATATCCTAGATGGAGATGTAATATCCTAGATGGAGATGTAATATCCTAGATGGAGAGGCAATATCCTAGATGGAGATGCAATATCCTAGATGGAGATGCAATATCCTAGATGGAGATGTAATACCCAAGATGGAGATGTAATACCCAAGATGGAGATGCAATACCCAAGATGGAGATGTAATACTCTGGATGGGGATATAATACCCTGGATGGAGGTGTAATACCCTGGATGGGAATACAATACCCTGTATGGAGATATAATACCCTGGATGGGGATATAATCCCTGGGATGGAGGTTTAATACCTTGGATGGAGACTTAGTACCCTACATAGAGATATAATACCATCGATGGAAATATGATACCCTGGATGGAGGTGTAATAACCTGGATGGAGGTGTAATACCCTGAATGGAGATATAATACCTTGGATGATGGAGATATGATACCTTGGATGGAGATATAATACCCCGGATGGAGATATAATACCTTGGATGGATGTGTAGTACCCTAGATGGAGATAAATACCGAAGATAGAGATATGATACCCTGAATGGGGATATAATACCCTGGATGGAGGTGTAATACCCTGGATAGGAATACAATACCCTGTATGGAGATATAATACCCTGGATGGGGATATAATCCCTGGGATGGAGGTTTAATACCTTGGATGGAGATATAGTACCCTACATAGATATATAATACCATCGATGGAAATATAATACCCTGGATAGAGGTGTAATACCCTGAATGGAGATATAATCCCCTGGATGATGGAGATATGATACCTTGGATGGAGATATAATACCCCGGATTGAGATATAATACCTTGGATGGAGGTGTAATACCCTAGATGGAGATAAAATACCTAAGATAGATATGATACCCTGAAAGGGGATATAATACCCTGGATGGAGGTGTAATGCCCTGGATGGGGATATAATCCTTGGGATGGAGGTTTAATACCTTGGATGGAGATATAGTACCCTGGATGATGGAGATGTAATATCCTAGATGGAGATGTAATATCCTAGATGGAGATGTAATATCCTAGATGGAGAGGCAATATCCTAGATGGAGATGTAATATCCTAGATGGAGAGGCAATATCCTAGATGGAGATGTAATATCCTAGATGGAGATGTAATATCCTAGATGGAGATGTAATATCCTAGATGGAGATGTAATATCCTAGATGGAGAGGCAATATCCTAGATGGAGATGTAATATCCTAGATGGAGAGGCAATATCCTAGATGGAGATGTAATATCCTAGATGGAGATGCAATACCCAAGATGGAGATGTAATACTCTGGATGGGGATATAATAACCCACATGGGCGTTGAAAGGGACCTAGATGTGTGAAATATACACAACAAAATTAAAACCTCTTTTACAGAAAAAAGGTTTACGGTTTTATAATAATTGTAACACATCTGGTAATAATTTGTCATCTTAATTTATAATATGTGTATGTGTTTTAATAAACGCTGTAGGGCAGCACGCTTCAGGATTCCCCTGCTTCAGGTGGAAGTGTATCGCACCTGTCACATCTTCCACGACGGGACGTATGTAAATTCTACCTGCCGGCAATACTTCAAAGGAGGGTATTTCCTCACATATATCTATATACAACATGTGATAGTGCGAGTTCTCCCTCGGGGGACGTCTTATGTTGACGACATTATTCAGCCACTCATTTCGACGGCGTTGGCGGCCGGGTGCGAGGGGCACTTCCCTCTGTAAAGGTAGGATAAGAACCATTTGTAATCATTCCTCTTTTTAGTGGTTTAAAACGGTCGTTATTTAATCAAATGTAGAATTATATCGACTTACGACTTCATTATCCCCAAATATGTAAGACGATAAAATGACTTATCGATATATACTGTTTGTTTGTTTGTTGTTTAACGCCGCACTCAGCAATATTCCAGCTATATGACGGCGGTCTGTAAATAATCGAGTCTGGATCAGACCATCCAGTGATTGACATCATGAGCATCGATCCACGCAATTGGGATACGATGACATGCATCAACCAAGTCAGCGAGCCTGACCACCCGATCCCGTTAAACTGACGGAAAAAGTAACTGTGCTTCATATAAAGTTTAATAAAAATACTTTATTGTGAAATTGAATAATACATCTTTCAATATGTATTCATGAAGATATCTCCTCGAGTTTAAGGTCGTGATTCACAATTTGCACGTGCTTGTTAACACAGAAAAAGGATGTTCGCGTGTATGTTGGGAGCATGATGTTCACACAGGTGTTTTTTTTATTTAAACAGTATACAATGATTATCAGGTGCTCATAAAAATAGTTTTGTTTAACCGTAAATAAAGTTTACGCAATACCTTGGGTAGCTGTACTACGCGCCGTATCTATGCTGGAAACAGTAATGGCGCAAAACGAGGTTTCCAGACAAGGTAGACCAATTTTTATGGATAACAACTTCTTTAATGTTGTAAAAAGCGACGTTTCGGTATAGATCCTTATACTTGACAAGCTTGACAACGGTATAAGGATCTATACCGAAACGTCGCTTTTTACAGTATCAAAGAAGTTGTTATCCATAAAAAATTGTGTCTCCCTTGTCATCCGTCAACTTCTAAGTAATGCCCATCAAACAAAGAAGTTTCCAGACATTTTAATGTTCATTGAAACCCTGTGTCATCTCTCTGGAGACGTAATCTACAGGAGGGCAACATCCATGACTTGCCACTGGACGGTCGTCCACGTGTGACGTCAAGTCAACGAGATAACCATATTCGGTTGGTACATCTACGGAATCGATACCGAACTGCCACATTAACAGCTCGGACATTTCCTGGGTTGAGACCGATTAGTGGAAGAACCGAACCCAACCGGTTGAGGGAGAACCATATCCGACCATGATGTCCAGAGAAACGCCAAATTTTGCTTCCACCTCACCGTCAGCTTGGTTCAGAAGACGAAACTTGGACAGTATGCTGTTCGCATATAAGTCCTGGTTTCGCCTGGGCAGCTCTGAGGGGACACGGGTGGCCCAGTCGTCTAAGGCGCCGCGATTCGCTGTGCAGAGTTGCGTCCCTTGGGTTCACCAGAAACCTATGAATGTGGGTTCGAATCTCGGTTCGCCCCGATTATGTTTCTAGGTTTGTCAGCATCATTTCGGGCTTTCCTTCCACATTAAACTGACACGCCGTGATATAACTGGAATAATGTTGAAAGCGGCGTTAAACCCAACTCACTCACTCACACACTGGACAGTACTGATCGTCGTACAAGGGTCTACAGGCGCCCAGGAGAATGTTTTAGCGACGCTTTAATTACTCAACGTCAGTTTGAGGGTTGAAGTGTATAGGTATGAGGTGGCATCATAATATAATAATAATGATACTGCTACTACTACTACTACAACAACAACTACAACTACTACTACGACTACGACTACGGCCTGAAAAGTGAAACAGGAGGCTTTCTGTTTGCTGCTCAGGTCCAGGCCAACAAACCTGATCTTGTCCCTTTTCGTAAACCCAATGAAATAATTTATATTATTGAATTTTCTGTCCCTTTTGACACCAATGTGATTGACAAGATTGAGGAAAAACATGTCAAATATGCGGACCTCACTTTCGAAATGTCACGCTTGCATCCCCAGTACCAAGTTGTCCGACTCTCCATTGTTCTTGGTGCCTTAGATTTGGTACCTCCCAATCTGTTGACTGACACTAGGAATACTGCCCTTCTGACAATCTGGGTAATGCAGCAGGCTGGAGTGCTGGGGAGTCTTCACATTCTCCGAACAGTTCTGGGTGAGTTTGACTAGGCAGCGCTTCCTGTCCCATTCGCTGTCTGGGCTGCGTGTGGAGGGGGCACGGACCCTGAGCTGATGATGAGCCTAACCAGCCTGACTGTGCCAGGATCACCCAAACCCTCTTTGCTGCATTTTTAAAAATCTGTAAATAATGATAATATTGATGAAAATAATAATAATAATGATGGAAAAATATATAATAATAATAATAATAATATAAATAAATAAATAAATAAATAAATAAATAAATAAATAAAAAAATAAATAAAAAAATAAAAAAATAAAAAAATAAATAATATAAAAAAAAATAAATAAATAAAAAATAAATAAAAATAAATAATAATAATAAAATAAAATTAACAACAACAACAACAACAACAACAACAACAACAACAACAACTCATGATAGACCACTTCTTATCTTCGTTCATGGCAATTTGAATGGCGTATGTTACCGGGGCGACATCGTTCCAGATCATGTTCTGCCCTTTGTCCAAATGAAGGGAGGTAAGCACAAACGTCAACTGAACCTAACTTTATTCACTCTTGGCCACTATTCGCTGCATAAGAGGAATATCTAACAGCATAAAACATGCAAGATACGAAACATACAACAATATGTACCCATATAAATACACACGACACATGTCATAATAACAAATACAGCAATATAGGAACAGCCATCGAATTAAACACTTTTACCTATCATTGTGAAGACAGAATAAGCTGCTTTAACTCTTTTCAGTATAAAATACAAAGCTTTGGTTGCTTGTTTTGAAATACAGTAAACTACGGTTATAACCAACTCAGGACCACTAATTTTAGTTCGTTATAGCCGTAGTTCGTTATAAGCATACATACAGCATACATACATCAAATGGCCGGGACTAAAAATATAACGGTCAGTTCGTTATAAGCGTGTTCGTTATAACCGTAGTTTACTGTATATTTTTTGGTTTCGGTGAAATTATTAAGCCTGAGAAATATAACTCCAAAATATTTCTAATCGTCAACAGTTTTTAATAGTTTTTGATTGCCTGTGAAATATGTTTACAATGTTTCTGAGCCTCCAAATATAAATATATAATTTGTTTTTGAGACATTAAGTTTTCATTGTTGAAAATATTGCGGGAAAATATTTAGCAGATTTTGAAGGTTTTCCTTACTTTCCTTTCAAACACAGACACAGAATCAGACACAAACATTCATTCACTCACACGAGCACATATCCAGATACCCACCCGCACATACACCGGCACACATACATACAGACCGGCACATGACGACATACAAACACACAGAGACACATGGACACACACAGACACACAGACACACATGCACAAATATACACTGACAGATATCCACAGGTACACACACAGTCAGTCACACACAGGCATATATACACATAGAGACAGTCATACACACAGACACGCACGCGCGCACGCACACACACACACACACACACACACACACACACACACACACACACACACCGAGGAATACAGACAGGCACATACAGACACATACAGACACATAGAGAGAGAGAGAGAGAGAGAGAGAGCGAGAGAGAGAGAGACAGAGAGAGCAAGAGCGAGAGAGAGAGACAGAGAGAGACAGAGAGAGAGAGGCACTCACAAACACAGAGACACATACACACCCAGAGAGACAGACACACTCACCGACACACACATAGGCAGGTACACAGAGACAGACACACACATAGATACATAGACACGCACGGACATATACAGACACACACAGACACAGAGAGAGGCAAACACAGACATACGCACACATAGACAGGTACACACAGACAGACAAACACACACAGAGGCAAGTACACAGATACACAGAGACAGACACACACAAAGGCAGGCATACACAAACACACACAGATAAAGAGACAGGCACACACACACGTAGAGAGAAATAGGCACACACAGACACACATACAGAGAGAGAGAGAGAGAGAGAGAGAGAGAGAGAGAGAGAGAGACAGGCACACGCAGACACACGCACACACAGACACATACACACTAGATGTGAACATCAGCGACATAACACACAGTCACGTTTTGGGTGGCAGCTGTGATGCATTTGTTGTCGCGATTATGCCCAGTATACGACAGATACCTATTTGAGGAAACAAAAGCTTACAATTGTTCGGAGGTGATGAAATTGTTGCGACAACCTGGAGGCAGATGTCTCGGATATGTACAAACGATATAAATTGTGTCCTCCTCGAGTAAATTGTTTTTAAACATTCACGTTTGGAAAGAAGAAAACTTTTTTACAATTTGCGTATAAAATATTTACTGTATAGTACGTAACGGCAGTGATGACACGGAGTCTTTATCTTTAGTGAATTATCGAGTTAACGGAGTTTAAGTTTTCACGGTGTTGTGTTCTCAACGAAGTCCCGAACTCGATTGTCCACATGGAAGCTCATTTTTTGCGTCGAAATATAGCTAAAAGCAGCATAAATCCTCACGTTCTGACACCCAAACGGATGCTTTTCAGTCGGAGGTGACAAAAGACGAGAAAGGATAGAGCCCATTTTGCCCATCAGAAATTAAAGAAATGATGAAACGTGAACTATCAGAAATCCGAGGTTTTCATATGACGAAAAGTTAGCATTGTTTTCTTTCCAAAACGTGTAACCTTTTGACTTTAAACAACACCAAGTGCAGAATCCTGTCTGTAATGTGTCAAACAGGCTCATTGTAATGATTTTCTTCAAGTTAATTGCTGATACTAAACATGAGAAAGGCTTTGACCCAAGCTGATTTTCCCTTTATGTAACAATAATTCATAATTGATCGAAGTTCGTTGTCTGTCATTTGAACATGTCTGATATATTCGCTACACATTTTGTAAACACTCCAGAGAGTGTTCGATTCCATATTCAATTAATCGAGGTTAAATCTACAGGTCTACATAAACTCATTGTGTTTATTAATTCACAATCCCTTACTGTAGTAATATACCGGACATAAATATAATGTGACAAAACTAGCGTCAACGTCCATCAACTCCCCCCTCTGGCGTATTCACGACCAACCACTACAAAAACACCCGACCTCTAAAAAACTGAAGCGTGTTTATTACATGTAATTCATAATCACTTACTGTGGTAATATACCGGACATTAATATAATGTGACAAAACTAGCGTCAACGTCCATCAACATCCCACTCTGGCATCTTCACGAACAACCACTACAAAAACACCCGACCTCTGAAAACTGGAGCGTGTTCTGCTGCAACAAGTGTCCGCCATGACACAGAACTTCAAACGGGCATCTCTCGAATGAAAAGCAGTAACTACGGCCGCCATTGACACCTTCATCAACGGTAACGACATGACAGTCGTTCATCATCAAACGTTTTCTTTTACAAGACGTTTTTGTGCAGTTTATCACCAACATTTGTAATACGCAGCAGACCGTAAAGATGAATATACTTACTGTCAAAGTTTGTCAGTTACCAGCACGATTTTTCAGACAGCTCCCACAAAAGAAATGTTTGCTACGCGAAGTGATTGTATCTGGTTGCGGAAAATAACGTAAGCGTTCATATATTTTAGTGGTCCTTGACTTGCCTTTGCATGTGTTTGTGACGGGTGCCAACGGTGAACAGGATACGCTCACTTTTTCACGAACACTTGGTTTTAACACCATTTGGTAGTAGTTTTATTTACCAATATGTTAAAATTGTTGATGTATTGTTGAGCCAGATTTATGATAATAATTAATAATATTTTTGTTTTCAGCCAATCAATGAACTCGCACTTGCCCATACAGATACTGCTTCTGCTTGTGACGTCACTTTGCGAGAGTCGACCATCGCCTCGAGGTGAGTCAGAGAAAGATGTGTAGTATATGGTTCCCAAAGCAGACATGGTGGTCGATAGCGCGAACACCAATCACTGTTAAAATGGCTAACATATAATACTGGATCGCATCTGAAGGTTGCTGGATCCCGGTCCAGGTATTTTAATAATATTCTTATGTAATAATACTAAGGCCCATGTACATATAAGGACTTAAATAATTATCACAGGGTGCAATCACATTTGTGACAAATTTTGTTTTGACAACAATGACGATTTTGATAAGCGTACATTCAGGGATTTAGTTATGAGTACCCTATGATTATCACAGGTTATTAACTTTTATAACGAAGTGTCGCTCTTACTGTTATGACATACGTGTATCCTCGGACCCCGTGGTACCGCGGCATTCATCGTATCGCGGCATTTGTGATTTCCGGTAGTTCACGCGGGACACGCCTCTTAGCGGCTGTCTATTAATGCAAATCAGTAACCAGGAAGTGCACACTTCGTAAACAGTTTCAATTTCCTAGGAATGTTCCGTCTGCTGTAAGTAAGGAGTTATTAATGCGTTGATACATATTTCTGGCATCTTTTGTAATATTGCCTTACCCCCATCTATCAATGGCCAACGATATAACCCGCAGTTCCCAAAGTAAACTTTCTCTATCGACCTGAACTAGATCATCTGCATATTCATGGCGACTCATAATGTAACGGAAGTTACGTAGTCCGCACATTTTTTCCCGCTCTGTGTCCAGAATCTATTGGGAGATCATAAGGGCCATAATGCCAAACTTAGAAATACGTTATTCACTAGTAGCCAAAAGAAAAATACATACTTTGGGCATACTATGAGTGTTTTTTAAAATATATTTATTGTTAACGTTTAACATTTTTCCATTATGTGACAAATTATTGTCATCCAATTTTTTTTATAAACGATCTTAGAATATCATTTCTGATATTGATTTTGATTTTAAAAATATTTTTCTCTTACTTTTCTGTAAACATGCATTGAATATTACCTATTACAGATAACACATTTAGAATTTTACTTGTGCTGTCTTTGCACTTGTCTGGACAAATCACTGATATCTGGCATGATCATACTAAGTGGTTGGTAGAATTATGTCCTCTTTTTGTCTAATTCGGACCTCCATACACAACTTTTCTCTGTACCGCGATACGATGGAGTTCTCTCCCTTGTCAAACTAAGCGCGAGGCCCGGCTTTTACTCGGAGCTACTAACGTAAATAATGAACTTTTATCAGTAAAATATGCATTGTTAGATCAAATAAATGACATCTGATATAGAGAACACGAATAATCATAACGGTTAGTGAGTGCATTTTGTTCCGTTCAGCATACATGACAAGTACCGCGATACCCCGAGGTTGCAGGTTATATCGGGAACGAAGATTTGTCTCAAATCTAACCATGCAGGACATATAAATAAGATCTTTAATGTAGCCAGCATGACACATTTCACAATAAATCGTTGACATAGTCAATACCTTATCTTCCTAAGTTACTACGGATGGGCAAATCGCATATCGTTAATAGACATATAACGTCTAAATTCTCTAATGCCTGCAACATAGTATTCCGTACCAGATTCCTGAACATGGAAAGGAATCATTTCTGTCTGAGATCTGATAGTCATAACTTTACTTAGTATTTTTTGAAGTTCATCAGCAAATACTATTAATATATGGGTTAATATCGGCGTATATTCAATGCAAACTAACGGCTGTCGATTCCCAAATTGAAACTATATGTTTACCCAGAAATCTGTAAGTAAAAGAATCTAGTGTGAAACCAACAAACAACCAACAAGCGGTATACAATGAACAAATGTATAACAAAATATAAATAGGTTTACAAATCAATACAAATTACTGCACAGCAATTACAATGGACTGGTCGGCTCGGAGTCAGTATACTGTGTCTGAGTGGGGTATTCATGTTAAACTGCGGCATGGTATCTCAGTGAGCTAGCACTATAAATCGGCATCAGTCCGGACTAGTACAAGCAGCCACACACACACATACACGTGCATGCACGTCGCTATATAAGTGCGATAATCTTGGACGCGACGTTAAACCCAATTTCACCTCACCTCAGTGTGCTAGCACTATAAATCGGCATCAGTCCGGACTAGTACAAGCATCCACATAAGCACGCACGCACACACACACACACGCACGCACGCACGCACGCACACACACACGTGCATGCACGTCGCTATATAAGCGCAATAATCTTGGACGCGACGTTAAACCCAACTTCACCTCACCTTACTCATAGTGAGTTATACATACCTCGTTATAATAACAGAACACTGACATAAATAAGGTAAACGCCCAGTTTCGGACACAGACACAGTGTACTGATGAATGATTGATTGGCGTTAACGAGTTTACAGTTAGCGCAGGCAAAATCAACATATTGTTCCTGACAGTTCAAGAGTGATCCATCTCTTGGGTGAAGGTCACACTTCCTTGTTATCGACAGAAGGCATACATCATGAAAGATGTACAATAAAACATGACTCACTTAGAAACACCTACGTTTACTGTCAAATCTGACAATCGTTTATGTAATGTATAGGCAAAATAAATCAACATGACAATGCCACGCGGCGTCAACTAGTATCCATCGTACAGGACATAATTCAAGTGTTCCTTTTCGCGAACACCTGGTGTCATCACTATTTGATAGCTATTCAACTCATGCTCATGAGACCGCCTCCGTGGTCTAGTGGTAGAGCGTCCGCCCCGAAGGTCCGGGGTTCGATCTCCGCCCGCGTCATACCAAAAGACGTTAAAAGATGGTACTTGTTGTTACCCTGTGTGGCGCTCGGCATTAAGGGGCTAAAACAAGGACTGGTCGGCTCGGAGTCAGTATACTGTATCTGAGTGGGATATTCATGTTAAACTGCGGCATGGTATCTCAGTGAGCTAGCACTGTAAATCGGCATCAGTCCGGACTAGTACAAGCAGCCACACAAACACACACACGTACATGCACGTCGCTATATAAGTGCAATAATCTTGGACGCGACGTTAAACCAAGATGTATAATATTTTCACCTCACCTCATGCTCATGACATGTTGGAATCGTACAATGGACTCTGCTTTCAGTGGAGATTTCTTATGATTATGGAAATGTTTTTTGTCGGTTTTCATTATTAGTCTTATACAACCAGACATTTGGTATTGAGGTATCATGAGACTATGAGACTAAATAATTTCTTATACGTTTAAGAGCAGAGTAACCTGTTGGCTAGAGCGTTCGCTGTTCACGCTGAAAAGCCCACTTGAAACGTGGGAGGTCAATTCTTCTGGAATATTGCTAAAACTGTCGTTAACCATACTCATTGACTAGATGACGATCGATGACTAAAGATCCATCAATGTCCTCAGGGGCGACAGTGGTCAAGCTTTCGAGCTGAAAAGCCCACTTGAAATGTGGGAAGTCAATTCTTCTGGAATACTGCTAAAACTGTCGTTAACCATACTCATTGACCAGATGACGATCGATGACTAGAGATCCATCAATGTCCACGTTTTTGTAGCTTGGGCACTGAGATTTATCACGTGAAGGTATTTAAAGTACGGACTAGTTTTTCCTTTGCAATCAAAGTCATCAGGCAACCAAATCAGAAATACAACACACAAATACATGCATATGAATAACCCATATCTTCGCATATCACCTTATAAATAAGCGTCAATGTCGAATACAGGGCGGTGGGTTGATTAACACTTTCGCTTGTAAACCGAAGGTCCGTAATCGATTTCTCAAATGGGTACAACTTGTTAACATCTTCAATTCAGTCATGTCACCTTGGACGGTCATTTCAGCAAGGACGTTAAAGACATTTTTGTCTTATCATGTCATCCATTCATTTGGAGTGAGTGAGTGAGTTAGGTTTAACGCCGCTTTTAACAGTATTCCGTTTATATCACGGTGTGTCAGCTTAATGTGGGTGGAAAGCTCGAAGTGATGCAGGTCTCAGACGTTTACCACTTTGGTGAACCCACGAGCACGGGTATGTTGCTGACAAAGCCAGAAACATAAACGGGGCGAACCGGGATTTCAACCCACAATCATAGGTTTCTGGCGTGCCCAAGGAACGCAACTCTGCACAGCGAATCGCGGCGCCTTAGACGACTGGGCCACCCGTGCCCCCCATTCATTTTGAGGTCTATGAATGTCATATGATATTATTTGTGAGTCCAGTCACATGTTGAACATGCATTTACAAAAGATAATCATAGGAAATTCTACAATTATCAAATCTTTTCATTCTCGATTTTGTTTACAGATTGTGGACGTAAGTTTCACTTTGATTTTGAACGTCACGAGGGACATCCTCCCGGCGGCATCTGGCAGGGTTTGGAGGGGAGGGTCACCTTCAGAGGGGGTAAGGCGTGGCTTGACGGTCACGGGTCTCTCATTTATCCTTTCTTTTCACACAACGATCTGAGAACAGGCTTTGCTTTCTCCTTCAAAATAAAACCTGCCAAAATAGCACCTGGTGGTCGAGTAGCCATTATCACCAACGGCGTGGACCCTGGATCGTCGACCTTGACTGTATTTCATAACGGCACGTGTCTCGGGGTGAAGGTCGTTGAGATAGCTGAAACATGGAATCTGGCGAAAGGAATCGACTTCAGCAGGAATGTGGAACTTAGTGTGGAGTATACAAAACATAAACAGGTTTGAACATTATTTTACATATATGTAATACTAATAGTCCTTTCTGAAATGATGATATCTTATGATGATAGTGGTACGAAATACCTTGATGTTCATGTTATTTTCGTCAATGTTAGAAATAATATCCTAAATTATAAGATTATTTTATACTTTGAGGATTGATTATTGATACTCACTCACCCACTCACCTAAACATTTCAGAATGATACTTTTATTCTCACAGAGACTTAAACGTTCCTCGGATACGGGAACAACGGCAGACGTCTACGTCGACCCAAACCAGTCAGACGATGATATGAACAACGTGGCGATCAAGAACGACACCACAGGATCGCTGGAGACCATAGAAAAACTTTTAAGTTTCTCTTCCGGTGAAGTTCCAGGTAACCATGGCGACGCTGCCGGAGTTCCAGATGACGGACCACGGGATGATAACGGAGTAAGAGGAGGATTAAATTGAAGTAAAATGAATCTTTAATTTTTATTCGGCTCTAAATTAAACAAATTTCAAAGGATCGAAAGGGTCATAAAGAAAATTAATGTCATCTTTATTGTGGTATTCAAAGAGTGAATGAGTGAGTGAGTTAGTGAGTCAATGAGTGAGTGAGTTGGGTTTAACGCCCTTTTTTAACAGCACTTGAGTATTCCAGTTATATCACGTCGTGTCAGCTCAATGTAGGAAGAATGCCCGAAGTGATGCAGGTCTCAGACATTTACCACTTTGGTGAAACCCACGATCAGGGGTATGGTGCTGACAAACCTAGAAACCTAATCAGGGTGAATCTTGGCAGTCGCGGCGACTCAGGATTTGAACCCCTAATCATATGTTTCAGGCTGGCCCAGATTCAGATTCAGATTCAGTGGCCCCTTTATATCACCTGATGCTCTACAGAGCACTGCATTTTGAATGTATTCATTTCGCATTGTATCGCTGTTATGGTGCTTGATTGAACTTGGATGTGGGTGGGGTTGGATATGGGTGGTGTTTGATGTGGGTGGTGTTTGGTGTGGGTGGTGTTTGGTGTGGGTGGGGTTGGATATGGGTGGTGTTTGATGTGGGTGGTGTTTGGTGTGGGTGGTGTTTGGTGTGGGTGGTGTTTGGTGTGGGTGGTGTTTGGTGTGGGTGGGGTTGGATTTGGGTGGTGTTTGATGTGGGTGGTGTTTGATGTGGGTGGTATTTGATGTTGGTGGTGTTTGATGTGGGTGGTGTTTGATGTGGGTGGGGTTTGATGTGGGTGGTGTTTGATGTGGTGGTGTTTGATGTGGGTGGTGTTTGATGTGGGTGGGGTTGGATATAGGTGGTGTTTGATGTGGGTGGTATTTGATGTGGTGGTGTTTGATGTGGGTGGTGTTTGATGTGGGTGGTGTTTGATGTGGTGGTGTTTGATGTGGGTGGTGTTTGATGTGGGTGGTGTTTGGTGTGGGTGGGGTTGGATTTGGGTGGTGTTTGATGTGGGTGGTGTTTGATGTGGGTGGTATTTGATGTGGGTGGTGTTTGATGTGGGTGGTGTTTGATGTGGGTGGGGTTTGATGTGGGTGGTGTTTGATGTGGTGGTGTTTGATGTGGGTGGTGTTTGATGTGGGTGGGGTTGGATATAGGTGGTGTTTGATGTGGGTGGTATTTGATGTGGTGGTGTTTGATGTGGGTGGTGTTTGATGTGGGTGGTGTTTGATGTGGGTGGGGTTGGATATTGGTGGTGTTTGATGTGAGTGGTGTTTGATGTGGGTGGTGTTTGATGTGGTGGTGTTTGATGTGGGTGGTGTTTGGTGTGGGTGGGGTTGGATATGGGTGGTGTTTGATGTGGGTGGTATTTGATGTGGGTGGTGTTTGATGTGGGTGGTGTTTGATGTGGTGGTGTTTGATGTGGGTGGTATTTGATGTGGGTGGTGTTGGATATGGGTGGTGTTTGATGTGGGTGGTGTTTGATGTGGTGGTGTTTGGTGTGGGTGGGGTTGGATATGGGTGGTGTTTGATGTGAGTGGTGTTTGACGTGGGTGGTGTTTGATGTGGGTGGTGTTGGATATGGGTGGTGTTTGATGTGGGTGGTGTTGGATGTGGGTGGTGTTTGATGTGGGTGGTGTTTGGTGTGGGTGGTGTTGGATATGGGTGGTGTTTGATGTGGGTGTTATTTGATGTGGTGGTGTTTGATGTGGGTGGTGTTTGATGTGGGTGGTGTTGGATATGGGTGGTGTTTGATGTGGGCGGTGTTGAATATGGGTGGTGTTTGAAGTGGGTGGTGTTTGATGTGGGTGGTGTTTGGTGTGGGTGGGGTTGGATATGGGTGGTGTTTGATGTGGGTGATGTTTGATGTGGGTAGTCTTGGATGTGGGTGGTGTTTGATGTGGGTGGTGTTTGATGTGGGTGATGTTTGATGTGGGTAGTCTTGGATGTGGGTGGTGTTTGACGTGGGTGGTGTTTGATGTGGGTGGTGTTGGATATGGATGTTGTTTGATGTGGGTGTTATTTGATGTGGTGGTGTTTGGTGTGGGTGGTGTTTGATGTGGGTGGTGTTTGATGTGGGTGGTGTTGGGTATGGGTGGTGTTGGATGTTGGTGGTGTTGGATGTGGGGGGTGTTTGATGTGGGTGATGTTGGATGTGGGTAGTCTTGGATGTTGGTGGTGTTGGATGTTGGTGGTGTTTGATGTGGGTGGTGTTTGATGTGGGTGATGTTGAATGTGGGTAGTCTTGGATGTGGGTGGTGTTGGATGTTGGTGGTGTTGGATGTGGGTGGTGTTTGATGTGGGTGATGTTGGATGTGGGTAGTCTTGGATGTGGGTGGTGTTGGATGTTGGTGGTGTTGGATATGGGGGGTGTTTGATGTGGGTGATGTTGGATGTGGGTAGTCTTGGTTGTGGGTGGTGTTGGATGTGGGTGGAGTTGGATGTGGGTGGTGTTCGATGTGGGTAGTCTTGGTTGTGGGTGGTGTTGGATATGGGTGGTGTTTGATGTGGGTGGTGTTTGATGTGGGTAGTCTTGGTTGTGGGTGGTGTTGGATGTGGGTGGTGTTTGATGTGGGTGGTGTTTGATGTGGGTAGTCTTGGTTGTGGGTGGTGTTGGATATGGGTGGTGTTTGATGTGGGTGATGTTGGATGTGGGTAGTCTTGGTTGTGGGTGGTGTTGGATGTGGGGGGTGTTTGATGTGGGTGATGTTGGATGTGGGTAGTCTTGGTTGTGGGTGGTGTTGGATGTGGGTGATGTTGGATGTGGGTAGTCTTGAAGTGGGTGGTGTTGGATGTTGGTGGTGTTGGATGTTGGTGGTGTTTGATGTGGGTGATGTTGGATGTGGGTAGTCTTGGTTGTGGGTGGTGTTGGATGTGGGTGGTGTTGGATGTGGGTGGAGTTGGATGTGGGTGGTGTTGGATGTGGGTGGAGTTGGATATGGGTGGTGTTTGATGTTGGCGGTGTTTGATGTGAGTGTGGTTTAACGTGGATGTGGTTGGAATTGGGTGGATTTCCCTGGAGGTGGACATTATACATATAGTTCAGCTCTTGCCATTTTCAACTTACAATCCTTACACAGATTAATGGTTCAACCTTTTATGATATATCATTTTCCTCTACAGGCGTCAACAACAAATTTGAACTATGACATCATTGCAGTTCGAAAACTGTTCAAAGAGAACACAACAAACACCCACAGCTCGGCATATCATGTTGACATTGTGACGGAGACACCGTCCATCACCACGACCGCGTACAGCGACATCACAAATACACAGTCCACCACAACCACGTCTACGGACGACACAGATACACAGTCCACCACAACCACGTCTACGGACGACACAGATACACAGTCCACCACTACGTACAGCGACATCACGGAAGTACCGTCCACGACAACGTATAGCGACATCACGGAGACAGCATCCACGACGACGTATAGCGACATTATAGAAACACCGTCCACCACCACTACGTACAGCGACATCACGGATGTACCGTCCACGACAACGTATAGCGACATCACGGAGACAGCATCCACGACGACGTATAGCGACAATCCGGAGACAGCATCCACGACAACCTACAGCGTCGCCACAGACACACCGTCGGCAACATGTAGCGACAACACGGAGACTATAGAAGATAGCGATACTGACAATGGGAATACAATTTCTGACCTTGTGATTGATACGAACCCTTCGACCCTACGAAGTGTCTATACAACTAGTGGTGTTTCAGACCACACTGCTACACCGTTGACAGAATCAGACACAACATATTCAACGCATGGCGCCAGAGTTAGAGAGCAGACGACACAAACGCCACAATCCACGCGTACAGCATCTACGACAGATTTTGTTGTATATAGACAACCTTCAACATATTCCGTCCACATTTACACTGACGCAGAGCAGACGACGATTGATCCCGCCTCAACTCACATGTCGTCTGGCGTCAGTTTAAGTCAGCAGACGACAACGCTGCCATCAACAACGTCACGTGTTCCCCCAAAAAGAGTTGTGGTTCCAAAAAGGAACAGGTTTCTGATTATCCCTAATATATTCAAGGGTTTGCAGGAAGAAGACCCAGATGAGGTAATATTACAGAGTCGGTCCGCTTTACGGTAGACAATCACGGTAAAGGTGAGGTGAGGTGAAATGGGGTTTAACGTCGCGTCCAAGATTATTGCACTTATATAGCGACGTGCCTGCACGTGTATGTGTGTGTGTCTGCTTGTACTAGTCCGGACTGATGCCGATTTATAGTGCTTGCACACTGAGATACCATGCCGCAGTTTACCATGAATACCCCACTCAGACAGTATACTGACACCGAGCCGACCAGTCCTTGTTTTAGCCCCTTAATGCCGAGCGCCAGACAATAATCACGGTAGAGAGTCACGGAAATAAATATAAAGCTTATTGAATATTCAAGTCATGTTCTGATAAGAAACATTTAATGTTTGATTGATTTTACTTACTTTGTATACGCCAAAAACACTTCGACTTTTATTATTTATGTGCACTGGGTCATTGAAATATATATTCTTTTATGCGGTAGCTGTGAGGGTGCCCTTTCCATCAGTACTCATATTTACATCAGCTCTTATATTGTTCCTCAGAAAAGGAATACCCGGACTTATGAAAACATGACAACTTAAGTTTAGTCCACGGTGTTGGAAATGGAATTGGCTGTGTAGGGTTGCGTCCCTTTCTGTGTCCAGATTTGCCTCCCTTAGTCCTGCTAGAAACCAATGGCTTTGAATCCCTATTTGCTATGATTGTTGCTGGGTTTGTCTTCACCATACCAAAGTAGTGAACGTCCAACCCTGCATCACTTCTTTCCTCCAACATCAAGCTGACATCGTGATATGACTGAAATACTGTTCAATCGGCGTTAAACTCACTCACGGGTCAACACAACGCCGATCTGTACCTACAAGGACAGTACATTGCTGGTGCCTGGATTGTGCCTAATATAACCCGTCCTAGGGAACACGGCATACATGTGAGGTCATTAACTTTAACTGTGCATAAGAATAATTGAGTTGTGTTGAACGCCGCTTTCAAAAGTATTCCTGTTATATCACTATTGAATTTGTTCACGTTGAATAAGTGTGTCATTTAAAAAAGTGGTCAAATTTAACAAATGTTATATTTGGGATAACACCTTCGTAGTAGATATTCTAGTACTTCTTTTATTGAGTCCCCTCCGGATTCGAACCCACACTGCCAAAGTGAGGCACCTAATCGCCAGCAAACAAAGTCAGCGATCTAACCCACTTAGCCACAGAAGTGTCCACAAAATGAAAGTCCGACAACTGGTAGTATAGGTCACGTACTTTGTGTACCCCTCTGACAAGTGTTAAGTGGCATGGCTCCCTTGGCCGAAAGCTATGAACACAATGCCATTAAGAATGTGGTCAAATGTAGCAAATGTTGGGATAAACATTTTCTTAGTGAAGTCCAGATTCTAGTACTGTTTGGCGTTGAGTCCCATTCGGGATTCGAACTCACACTGCCAGAGTGAGGCACCTAATCGCCAGCACACAAAGCCACCAGATTGGACTCACCTAAAAAAGGTTCTAGAATCTGTACTTTACAAGGAAAGTGTTATCCCTAATATAACATTTGATACATTGAGTATGACACAACCATCCATGTGTTTTTCTATGTGCTAGATAGAGGTCCGGCTTGCCCAGGATAATGGAGTCTTGCGGCTGCAGGTCGGAGAAAGCGCCATACAGGAGACCACTGTAGGTGAGGTAGCCTTATTACAGCCTTCGTGTCAATGTTGGTTGGTTTGTTGTTCAACGCCACAATCAGCAATATTCCAGCTATATGACGGCGACAATCCAGTGATTGATATCATGAGCATCGATCGAGGCAATGCGGATACTATGACATGCATCAACCAAGTCAGCGAGCCTGACTATCCGATCCCGTTCGTCGCCTCTTACGATAAGCATGGGTTGCTAAAGACCTACTCTAACCCGGATCTTCACGGGTTTTATGTTATTGAGGGCGGTGGGGTAGTCTGGTGGTTAAAGCGTTCGCTCGTCATGGGTTCAACTCCCCACATGGGTACAATGTGTGACCTGTTTCTGGTGTCCCCCACCGTGAATCCACACGATGTGAAACCCAACTCACTCACTTACGAATGTGAGCATGGTTTCATAAGGTATTTCTGTTACAATATCAGCATTGAGAGCACTCAGCATGGGCAAACACACTGGCGTCACACCTCTTTAGACTGCACCTAATTAGACAGGAAACCCCACATTCCGGACAGATATTATTGGGAGCGTGTCCAATGATGTCACTACGGATAATTTCTGACGATTTGCTGTCAGCCATGGTTTACCTGGTCCAGACTCGACCATTTACAGGATGCCGTGAAAAACACCGATTATTGCTGATTCTTGCATAATACTGCATTGATGCATTCTTGTATTGACCCGAGAAGATCCGGGGTAGAATAGGTCTTCAGCAACCCATGCTTGCCGTAAAAGGCGACTATGCTTGTCGTAAGAGGCGACTAACGGGATCGGGTGGTCAGGCTCGCTGACTTGGTTGATGCATGTCATCGATCCCAATTGCGTGGATCGATGCTCATGATATTAATCACTGGATTGTCTGGTCCAGACTCGATTATTTACAGACCGCCGTCATATAGCTGGAATATTGCTGAGTGCGGCGTTAAACAACAAACAAACCAACCATTCTTGTTTTAATCACTATTGCTCCGTACTGGCCGAACACTACTTTAAAGAATCTTGATACAGGGCCACCACGGGGATTTCGGGTTATACCCATGGGAACCAATTGTGTCCCCTTCTGTTTCTTTATACATATGAATAGGAATTTCTGCCCGGTTTGGCAAAGTCAAAACAAGGAAATATGGCAAAGAAGTTTAACTTAGGCTTCAGGTATATCGATGATCAGATATCGTTCAATCATCATCAAATAGCCAGTTCCCTTCCACCGATTTACCCACCTGAACGTGAAATAAAGGAGACCAGTGAGACCGCCTCATTTGTTTCATATTTAGATCTACGCATAAAGATTATGGATGACAATACACTCTCCACAAGAATGGTGGACAAGAGGGGTGACTTCAACTTTCCTATAGTCAACTTTCACTTTCTGTCGTGCAATATTCCTGCAGCTCCAGACCTTGGTGTCTACTTTTCACAAGCTTGGAGGTACAATCGAGCATGCTCTTTGTACCAAGATTTTAAAGAGCGTCATACGACTCTTGCTTCTGAGCTGTTTGATCAAGGTTACAACATTCAAGGCCTCAGTAATGATTTTATAGTGGACATGTTGAGGACATTTCAATAGTTGACGCAAAAGAGACAAGAATGATGTCCGATGCAATTCCCTATTTTCACTTGTACCATATGTTCCTGTGTTTTTCAGGTAGCAAAAAATTGACTTGCCTTTGAATGTGTTTGTGATGGATCCACTGTTGGGGCAAGATACGCTCACCTTTTCGCGAACACCTAGTTTGATCATTATTTGATACTTATTTATAAACATTTTTTGTTTGTTTATTGTTTAACGCCGCACCGAGCAATATTCCAGCTATATGACGGCGGTCTGTAAATAATCGAACCAGTCTGGACCAGGCAATCCAGTGATTAATATCATGAGCATCGATCCATGGAATTGGGATCGATGACATTCATCAACCAAGTCAGCGAGTCTGACCACCCGATCCCGTAAGTCGCCTTTCGGGATCGGGTGGCGACTAACGGGATCGGGTGGTCAGGCTCGCTCATGATATGTGTATATTCGGAGTAGTACAATCCATTCTGCTTTTGGCAGAGATTTCTTATGAATATGGGAAGGTGTTTGTCGATTTTATTTATAGAAATAGTCCCCAGCAACCAATGCTTATCGTAGTAGGCAAATCAATGCATCGGGTGGTCAGGCTCGATGACTTGGTTGATTAAGTGTCATCGTATCCTGGTGGATGTAGCGTCTAATATCACTGGATTGTCTGGTCCAGACTCCATTATTTAAGGGTCGCCGTACTGACGGGTTAGGGTGGTCAGGCTCGCTGACTTGGTTGAAGCATGTCATCGATCCCAATTGCGTGGATCGATGCTCATGATATCAATCACTTGATTGTCATATAACTGGAATATTGCTGAGTGCGGCGTAAAACAACAATTCAGGTCGCCGTCATGTAGCTGGAATATTGCAGAGTGCGGCGTTACACAACAAACTGACTGTGGTACTTAACGTGGAGTACGCATCAGTGCATGGAGAATGTATGCTAATTTAGTCATTTGATGACCACAGGCGTCACCGAGCATTTGAAGGCCCCACGGTCAGCTCTGAGGGTCGGCGCCGGGGACGGACTCCTGTCATACAAGGGCAGCTTTGATGAGGTAAATAAATTAAATAGTATCACCCAACTAAATTGAGGGGCAAAAGTAACTATACATTTCAGTTGATTTTATCATATGTTTGATTTTCAACTGAAAACGATATTTTATTAAAAAAAGATTAACTATGATGGCCCTTAGTCAGATACTTCCACATAATATTTCTTATATTATTGATTTAAAACTTTTAAAATTAAGAAAGAAAATTCGCATAATAGAACACTACTAATGGGAGTCTTAGACATATTATTTTTTTAAATCAATAAATTTGGTGTTTAGGGCACAAATTTACATTAGAAACATGGTAGGGGTCACGAAGCTGCAAATTCATTTCTTATCCCAGCCTTCACAGATTGATTAATTTTTACACAAAATTGCCTAGCCACAGATGACTTTTAACAAACTGTTGCAGGATTGAGTGTGGAACAATTACATTTAAATTGAAAATGTGGTAAAAGAGATATCACAACTGATGCAAATACGCAATATTACACGTTAAAAGATGTTTACTTAATACTTGCAAATGATAAATAAAGATTTAAATTTGATGCTGTAAAAATGTTTCATTTTCAGTTTTCCATGTACGACTGTGCGCCTGAAAAATTCTTTAAAGATGAAAACTGAGGATGAAGAAACATCATTTTTGCATCTTGTGTCACCATGTGGCGCCTTTGCGCAAGGTTAACCGACCTTTAATATCGGTCTTCTGGGCAAGAACGTCTCAGACTTGGCCTACTCGCTTTCGGGCGTCATCGTTGTGTGTAGTGTTTTATTCCACAAATGACTAATTACGATATTTCTGGTATGACTGACACCTGTCAGCCTTCAGAGTCCAGCGTGTTAATTTTAAGACTTTATTACCTCGTTAACTTCCACTGTCAATCTTCGAAACTGTTTAACAACTGGTCTAAGTCATGCATGGGAGTTATGTAAATATAGATGTATTTGCATTTTAGGAGAGACGTGGCAAACGGTTTAAACAATTACACATATAGTTTCTATTTTTTAATGGAGATTTATTTTAAATAGACATGTTTTTTCCTAGTCATAACTTGCACCTGCCGTAGTGCTCATTTTGATGTGTAGTCTTGTCATCTGTGTTATTTATTAGTAAACTCAGTGAGGTTTGTGTCGGGTTTCTGCAGGTCAGAATTGTTTACTTGAGTGTATATGTGTCAGATATCGGTGACAGTAGTAATAAACAAAACAAAACAGTATTCGTGTTTATTATTGTAATTTTAAGGAAACAAATTAATGATAATTTATAAGGTGAGGTGAGGTGAAACTGGATTTAACGTCGCGTCCAAGATTATTGCACTTATATAGCGACGTGCATGCACGTGTGTGTGTTTGTGTGGCTGCTTGTACTAGTCCGGACTGATGCCGATTTATAGTGCTAGCCAACTGAGATTCCATGCCCCAGTTTAACATGAATACCCCACTCAGACACAGTATACTGACGACCAGTCCTTGCTTTAACCCCTCAATGCCGAGCGCCAGACAGGGTAACAACAAGTACCATCGTTTAACGTCTTTTGGTATGACGCGGCCGGGGATCGAACCCCGGACCTTCCGCTCTCCGGGCGGACGCTGAGAATTTATAATGATCACATTGCAGGGTTGATGTGTATTGAAGTGCTATTTTCAGTTTGGCATTGCATTCAGCTTCCTCTGAAATACACTGACTGAAATACAGTTCCAATAGCGTTAAACCTCACTTACTCCCTCATATTATTTTCCGATGTTTCAGTAAAAGTCGTTTTTATTAATGTCAACTTTTGATTTCCAAATTTATTAAAGTTGTAAATCGGATATTTTTTCTCTCTTTTGTCTGTCATAATCACCACGTTGGTCTAAAATATGAAGTTTTGGTGTAACCCACCTATACAATTGCTGATACCAACTACTTCAATGAACGTTGCAGGTGGTGTGAGCTTTTACCCTTACTCTTAGAATTAATTCAGGCCGAGTCATTTCACGCTGTATTGTCACTTGTTTCACTGCTCACAACATGGAGTAACTCGTTGGTATTCTCTGTACACTTTCAAACCAAAACGATTGTCATGGAAGCGGAAACAAGCGAGAACCATTTGTCATTTATGAGGTGAATATAAGCGCTTATTGATCAAAGCACTCGCTGCTACCTCTCTTGCAGGACGTGGTTTGACTCGTTGTTTAAATCAGCACGACATCGCACAGCAGCCTGTGTATGCACGGGTGATGGAGGAGTACATAATCTACTGAACCATTTCAGTTCAGTTTCGTGATAGGTCTTCAGCAACCCATGCGACTAAAAGGCGACTAACGGGATCAGGTGGTCAGGCTCGCTGACTTGGTTGATGCATATCATCGATCCCAATTGCGTGGATCGATGCTCATGATATTAATCACTGGATTGTCTGGTCCAGACTCGAGTATTTACAGACCGCCGTCATATAGCTGGAATATTGCTGAGTGCGGCGTTAAACAACAAAACAACCAACCAGTTTCGTGATCCATCTGGCAGGGTGATGGGGTCAACTCAACCGTGGTACAATCGAAATGTACCCTGGGTACATTAATGTACCACGGTGTAATCACTCCAGGCCCCTTCGGCTGCTACCGCAGTCGGCACTAGTAGGTCTGCCCAGAGAGCTAAAGTCGGTGACTTTTAACGCGACATTAAATCCCATTTCACCTCACCTCACCTCACTTCCTAAGTAAATGCCTGGACGTAACTTGTTGGGGTTGATGGTCCAGCTTCAGGGGGTGTCTATACACGTGATCTGACACGGGTGGTCTGTCGTCTAAAGAGGTCTGCTCTGTTTCTCACCTGCTGTCCATGACTTAGACTTCACTCGGAAGTGACGTAGTTGTTTGGAGTAATCCTGGTGCATCATGGGAACGTAGTTCCTGGATGACACCGACACTGGAGGTTACAAGTGAAGAATTATTAACATACTTGTAATATACAATTCTACATTTAAAACAAGCAATAAAACTGACATGAATTAGGTATATCACAACCTTTTCATGAATCACGACCAAATAGTGATGATCCCAGCCGTTCGCGAAACAAAGTCAGCACAGCATCTATATATCAGCGTGAACGTAACCAAGACAGTTTCTTGAGATCCTTAACCTACCTGATGTTGTTCATAAAAGGCCTTGTATCCGCCATCTAACAGGTAAACTTCCGGGTAGAAGAGGAAAGGGTAACGGTCACTGTTTAGCTTCCGGTCAAGGTTGCTAAGATGTCGCTATCTGTATCAGAAGATACATCATTGAATGAAACGTTGCATGAAAAAAATGATAATAACATTCGGTGTCACTAGTATTTTACATTGGCATTAAACGTATAACCCGGTTCATTAATGTGTGAACTACACTATGGGGTTCATGGGATAAGTAACACTTACAGTTTGGGGCCTCTCTCTGACGAAAATTCATAGTGGAAGACCAGGCTGTTCCGTTGAATGGAGTCCTTCCCCTGACTGATCACTAAGTCTGTGATCAGAGCCTCGTTGTGAAGGTTCTGGGAACCCTGAAGTTAAGATATTGACATTGTTTATTTCCTATAAATAACCACTCACACTGGTACATGGACATAAATACAAGAAAGTCATTTGGACAACAGAGGCATTCGCGTGAGTATTAGAGTATAAATTCGATTTTTTAAGTATACTGGAGACAAATCTGCTGAGTACAAACTAGTTGTTGTAATTTATGGTAATGAGGCTTCACATAATAATACTTTTAAAAAAAGAAGAAGCGATGACGATCTGTTTCCAATATAACACTCAAACATGGAGTGAAAGTCGTCATCGACAGAAGATTACAAAGTGGACAGATCCTATCAACATAGGGTAAATCTCTCCACCGTCCACTCTCATTGGGTAGAGAGTGATTGCTGGTTCTAAACTCAGCCAATGGCAACACGTTTATGTTATTTTTATTAATGTAGGGTTGAAGGCCAAATTCTGGTTTGATACTAGAGTAAAATTTACCTCTTAATGACATAGTTTGATCGTTGTGTCATCCCTGTATAAGCTGGTCTTTAAGCTGTCTGTTACAAACACTTTGATTTAACCGTAGAAAGCTTAAACCACAACAACCCAATATATCCTTAATACACTTGATCCATTTGGAATGGTAATTGTTTGTGATGAAAGTTTATTATAGATAATTATAGTAAGCTTATTACTCATACATGATACAATTATATACCAGAATGCAACCATTCGCTTCCAGTCTCAACATACAACATGTATGATGAGGTATTTTTCTTGAATGGAGTATATACTTTAAAAACATTTTATGTACACCTTCTACACAAGTGACATCACTGAAACCCCACACTTCACAATCATACATTGCTATAAAATTCCGGCTATATTATCTATTCATCTATATTTTTCTATAACGACGTCTGTCCTTTTTTTCTTTGTATATTTCCATCTGTCATATCAATATAGAAGTAATGAATATTCTTCAACAAACCTCGCTGTCACTGCAGTAAGAGTCAAAGTCGCTATCTCGTGAATCTTCCTCGTCGAAAAGTAGACCTTTCAGTTTGAAGTCTTCTTGCACACTTTGATGCTAATGTCTTGGCATTGTGGCACAAATTTCTTCAAATAGTTTCTACTGGGCTATGAAAGTGAATCTAATAATATGTGTTTGGTACATAATTGTCAAATAATTTGACAAACCTCATTGTCACTGCCAAGTGATTCAAAGCCAAGCCTCTTTGGGATAAAGACTTCTGGTAAACTCTGACATTCTCTTCTTATCATTGTGGCTCAGATTTCTTCAAACAAGTATATTTATGGTCATGTATTGGCAAGTTATGCAGTTGCCAGGAGAATGATGCTGTGTCTTGCATCGGTTGCATATACACCTGTACTAAAACAACATATTTACATAACAAAGACAGCACTCGTTGATCGATTCGTTAGCCAGTTGATCGTGCATTGTTCATACTGGTTAATAGAAGCAGTATAGACTTTCACACATTAAAGGAGATTGGTTAAGTATGTGGGCTTGGTGTGAATATGCGATCGCTTGTGTCCCCCGTAGATAAGTATCTACCTGTACGAAGGTGAGAAGGGATTATCCCGAGGTAATCATCCAGGTAGAACTTCAAATGTACCTGCAACCCATGTTTGGATAACACAGAATTCAGGTCGTTCTCGTCGTCAGTTGAATGGCAATTAAGGAAGATTTGTATTTATTTTTGTGAAGAGGACATTTAATGTCGGCTCACTTTCTGCATGTATTCCCGACCAGTTGGGTTAAGGTGTAAAGAAAGCAGGTTATCAAAGGACAGTTTGCCTGATCTGGATAAGCTGGATTAGACTAATGCTTTAGTGTTTCATAAAATACGTAACACATCGTGAAATATAGTGTATTTCTTATTAGTTTCTTATCTCCTGTTCCATTGTTTGAACATGCATTAACACTTCACTTGCTGACTGAAACACACAAGCGATAGTCATAAGAAGATTCTGCTGACACCAATGTACGATTCCGACTTTATCATAAGCTTGTGTTTATGAATAACTATCATAGTGGTGATACCAGGTGTTCGCGAAAAGGTGAGCGTATCCTGCCCCACCGGTGTCACCGTCACAAAGACTTCACTGGTTCACTTACCCAGATTCCATTTCTTGATTAATTTAAGAATATTCGAACATAACCACACTGCCAGTGTATTTGCATGCATAGTTTTAAAAACCCATTAAGATTTATATTACAAATGAATGTTACTTTCTACAATGTGTATGTTCTTTATAAGCATTGCAACTGAATGGTGCTAGGACCACGTGACTGTCTCAGTAGTATTTTGTATTCCCCCTTCCTTCTCTCGCCTCTGTCTGACTGTTTGTCCCGCTCTGACATTTTGGAGAAAAATAAAGAAAACTTTGGTTATTGATAATTTAATGGTACACCATAACATCATTTGCAAACATCATTTAGATCAAGATACATGATGACACATTATTATTTAATTTTCATTTTACTTCAGTTTGCTAAACTTAAAATATATACTGCCAATAACACACATTGTATTCTATACTATTCCATTCTTATAATATGGCAATGAATAATTCTAATGATGCGCCTATTATATTCTTCATGGTCTTGTAATCTTACTTCTTTGCTTATCGGATCACTCAGATAAAAATATAAATCTATTGTGTATGTCCACAATAAGCGTTGGTGATGAACACTGTAATTACCACTTTGGTGAAAGTCACGATGACGACTGGGTCACAAGTGTCTATGGAGTGGACACGGGATGGCTTAAAGTGCACAGACATCGAAATGTATCGACGCTACAGTAATCATGGACCACTTGCACAGAGCAATCTTAGCGCCTTTGTAACTTCCATACTCTACACACTCTACCAAATATATTTGAAATTGTAATTGAACTTGACAAACAACAGAGACAATGCATCGATTAAGAAGAACGTTTGTGATTTGATGTGAAAGTGTGAGGAAAGTGTGTGTTTCAAAGTGAGGACACTAAACGAGCTGAAGATCAGTATTTATTCATATCGTTCAAAGAAACAGTGGATAACAAGACGGTATCACAGTGTGGTTGACAAAACAGGTCAACGTATGTATAAAGTATTCCGTGATTACCTCAACATTCAGGCACCAACATAATCAACAATAACAGTGACAATAAACAACAAATCTCTGAAATCCAACACTCGGACAACAGGTGACATTTCACATTTCAGCAATTCATATTCCAGATTACCATGGAGACATCTTAAGCGGAGACGAATCTATTATGAGACGTCGACTGCGCATGCTCTGTTTTTCTCCTGCTGTCCATGACTTGGACCTTACTCGGAAGTGACGTAGTTGTTTGGAGTAATCCTGGTGCAGCATGGGGACGTAATTTCTTGGATTGCACTGAGACTGAAAGTTACAAGAAAGTACTTATTACCATACGTGTGACACATAAAAGCACTGGTAACACAACATTCTCCCCCAAAAGGGTAGTACAGATAACTTTAAATTTAGAATGTATATTAAAATGATTATTAAAAGGCATACATTTAATTAGAGACACATTTACAATATCCTATAAGTAGTCCCGTTAATTTCGAACATTCGTCAACCTACCTGATGTTGTTCATAGAAGGCCTTGTATCCGCCATCTAACAGGTATACTTCCGGGTAGAAGAGGAAGGGATAACGGTCACTGTTCTGCTTCCGGTCAAGGTTTCTGAGAAGTCTCAATCTGTATCAGAAGATATATAATTGGAATAATTGTTACATAAGGTAAAACAAATGCAATTATTTTGGGTAGTACAGTAAACCTATGACGTATGATCTTTTACGTCGACTGTTTCAAGTGCTAAACGCGAGAAACAGCGTACAATGTATTAACAATAGAAACTGCAAAATCAATTTTCATGTGAACAATGATGTTAACTTTTAACTTTTGAGCCTTTACGCCAACAGCAAATGTGTTTTACGTAAGAGAAAATACTTACAGTTTCGGGCCTCTCTCTGATGAAAATTCACAGTGGAAAACCAGGATGTTCCGTTGAGTGGAGTCCCTCCCCTGTAGACTGGTCACTAAGTCTGTGATCAGAGCGTGGGTGTGAAGGTTCTCGGCACCCTGAAGTAAATAATGTAAGAATATAAGCTCAGCAAACTCTTATTAATATATTGGCGTCAGAATTTTTTATAAAAGTACAATGCAAAGATATTATATGAACAAACAAACATTGATTACATTCTGTTATAGAAGCTTAAAGACAACAGCATACCTCAATGTGACCACCTTCATACTCATATGGGTAACGACAGTCAATGACCCTGTAGCTGGAAATGACGTCATCGTACTCTCCTGCTAGAAGCTGACTGACTGTATATGGAGTCACAGATTTGAGATCCTTGTGTCTGCCTTGTGTAGTTTGGAGACTATGAGCCTGAAAACATAAAGGCAACTTGAAAAATGTGGAATTCCTTCTCATTCAAATAGATTAAGCAATTCAGAAGATCTATATAATCGATATTAGAATGGAAGGATGAATCCTCAACTAACCTGTGAACCATCACCGATGAGATCAACTTCATTTTGCATTTTGTCGACTGCTGTCTTCATGACCTCTGATGTTACTTCGGCTTGGAGGTTATGACCACAGCTGGCTGTTTTTTGTTTCTTGGTCTGTCTCGCTTGAACATAATCTCCGTCATCACCATTGTCACGCTGTCTCTTTCCTCCGAACAGTGACTTCCTTGTTCCATGGAAACCCGCTTTCCTGTGATCCAAAGGTTGTGGGGACACCTGATGAAGAAACATGCATACAGTACATTTCAATGTTGGCTTAACAATTACATGTAAAAGCATCACATTTCTTTTTTGAAACCGACTCATCCAACCCTTTAACTATCCATTATCCATATCCATTACTGCATATATATTTCTGTCTGCTTTATATATTTAAGAAGTAGCTGTTCTCTGTTCGATTATACACAATTCGACAAACCTCACTGTCACTGCAAAGTGATTCAAAGCCACTATCACGTGAGTCTTCGTCTTCGAAAACAAGGCTCTTTGGGATAAAGACTTCTGGTAAACTCTGACATTCTCTTCTCGGCATTGTGGGACAGATTTCTTCAAACAATTCTGAATGTTAAGAAAGTATATTTATGGTCATGTATGTGCACGTTATGCAGTTGGCAGGTGAATGATGCTGTGTCTTGCATCTGTTGTATATAAACCTGTACTAAAACAACATATTTACATAACAAAGACAGCACTCGTTGATCGATTGGGCGACCAATCGATCGCACTTTCTTTATTCTATTTAATGAAAACTTATGTAAACATTAACACATTAGAAGAGATCGGTTAAGAATGTTGGCTTGGTGTGAAAATGCGGGATCGCTTGCCTCCCCCATAGGTATGGAACTACCTAAACGAAGGTGTGAGGGGGATTATCCCAAGGTAATCACCAGGTAGGACATCAAATGTACCGTTAACACATGTTTTGATAAAGCAGGATTCAGTTTGTTGTGGTCGTGCGCTGAATGACAATTTAGGACGATTTGTATTTACATGGCAAACGAGATGTTTCATCAAGGTGCAATGTGGCTGTGTTAAGATGTAAAGTAAGCAGGTTTAACAAGGGCCAGTTAGAATGATCTGGATTAGGTGGACTAGATTCATGTTTGTAGAGAATGTCTTGTCAGTTACGTGTCTATTAATCTTGTAAGGGAGGCACATGGAAAAAGTTATTGTTTTTCTGTTTAGTGTGTGTGTGTGGTTCTATGGCAACTTTAGCAGAAACAATAAAATGATTTGACTAAATGAGGTTATTACTGTCTGTATGTTTTCTTGTTGGACGTTAGAATAATTATACAAGCACGATTTGATAGTGTTTCAGATTTTATTAAAGATAATTTATGATTATTGAAATGTTTTCTGTCACTTTATTTTATTTGAATCTGGTATTCGGCTCACAGTCATTTACAGTAGATTTTGTGCTTTAGCCTCAGTCTTATAACAACGCTGTGGTAATACCACGAATATGCCACCACGAATGGGTGTCACATATTGTACCAATATAGGGAATGGAATTTAGATCTTCAGCATAGTGATCAAACGACTTGATATTACGATCTAATGACATTAAGAACATCGCTGGCTGTTCCAAAAATGTTCACCAAATATAATCCATTCATGGCTATTTCCAGCAAATAAAAAAACTGTCTAGATCATTTACCGTTTGGTTGCGAAACCGTTTTTAATTCACAAAATATATATATCAATATTCATTAACAAATTAACGTGTTAATAATTAAAAGTAAATTGCTTCAATAGACATAATCTTCCTTGTTACATCTCGCTTGTGACTAATATAACCTGGAGTCTTGAACGATTCCTTGCAATGTTTCCCAAATGACTATCCACTCGCGATAACAAATGAGTTCAATATTTAATAACTCAACAACTTGTTTGGTAGATTAATGGCATTTGCTGATGGATGAAAAGCCCAAACAGCACTCCCGAGCAACAAAATTGGAAGACTTTTGACATGAAATATATGTAACAATACCTTCGTTGGCAAATTATCAAAAACATTATGATGATTAAAGGATTACTACTACTTTTCATCCATGATCCTGAGCACGAAAAATGGACCCCCAGAAAGTTTGGAATGAAACTATTTCAAGAGGATTTCCATTCAGAAAGAATGATTAGTAGCATTTTAATCTGTCAGCCATTCTGAATACAATTACTTTCCTCGTATCAAGATTTATTGTTAATTTCAATTTATTGCAGTACAAAACTACTTTGTCTCGCCTTTTTTCTAAACTTAAAACTGAGAGATCAAACAATACAATGTCACATAAATAACTCAATAAATTCTAAATTAATCCTGCATATGGACTTTCAACAATATCATTAACAAACAAAGAGAAAAGGAAAGGTGATAACTGGCACCCTTGACGTACGCCAATAAACAATAAAGAAATGTATATCCATTCTTCACTGAAATACAAGCTTGAACTTTTTCATACACGCTTCTTAACAATCTAAAGGTCTTGCCTTTGACATTTCCTAGCACAAGTTTGTAATAAATCACCTATACCTGTCTACAGAGTTAAAGGCTGACTTTAAATCAATAAAGGCGCAATACAACTGCCCATTATATTTATAGGTACTTATTAATGATGGTGCTGAGAACAAAAATATTATCGTGCGTCTGAAAACCATATCTTTACCCAGCCTGCTTGTGAATGAAAAAATGTTCCCGCTTGGCCCAATGATTTCATCTATCAATAAAAACTTGAGAGAAAATTTTACCCGAAACTTCAAGCAATAGTCAATAGTTTGGTGGACAGTCAGATCTACTCTTCTTATAGAAGGGAAATAATAACTCAGTTGGACCATTCAGGTGGATACATACCTGTAGATAAAGATTTTAGCCAATTAATACTTAATTCTGGTGCATTTTTGAAAATTTCAATTGGAATTCCACTATATCCGGGAGTTTTACCAATTTGCATATATCGAATTTCATCAATATTATCTTGATACCAGATTTCTTTATCCAAATCATCAAAATACTTTTTACAAGTTATTGAATGCAGAACTAAAAACTATGAAAATAATTTTATTCACACTAGAACGAACTTACGGAACATTTTATCGCCAGATTTGACTAACGCAGGTTCATATGATATTTTAAACGAGTTATTAATAAAATTTTATGATTGTGCACAACAATTTTACTTTGACTGCGACTAAGATGTACTGACTTGAAAGTCTAGATCTGCAAGTACTGTAGACACATCTGCGAAGACCCTTCTTGTTCCCGTGGTTCGGTATGCGAGGACACTGCTCATTGTTTCTTAATATGTCCAATTTATAGAACCATAAAGATCAAACTCATACTTCTATACTATGGGATAGTACATCTGTTTGGCATCTTATGGCACTTCCCTAGAAATCGGAAACGTTAAAGCAAACAATTTTGGCATCTGTTCGTGATGATATTAAACAAACAAAACTATTTTCAAATTGATCATTAACCAGTTTATATAGCCTATAGCACCCCCCGACACACCTTCATCATATCCAATGGCATAATCTCTCAGTTATTGCTACCTTTACTGTATTTCATTTTCAATTGTACGTATTACTGGAAAAGTATTCATATAAGTCGCACGACTTGTTTTCCAATCCATTCCGTGTAAACGTATGGGAATCACAAAGGTTCATAAAGTCTTAAAACGTAAGTTTAAGAAGAAATTTCAAATTGAAAAGGTATCTATTTCATGTAATGTAAGTACCCAAATTTGGTGCCAGGATCAATATTGTCCAGATTAGTGGATTTTGAACATGTTTTCGATATCATTCAATTTCTTCAAAGGACTGACATTGCATATATTATTGTAGCATAACAGGTTCCTATACTATGAACTCGTTTTATATAGCAATCCTGTCCAGCGATTGATGCTATTGTTTATTATGTTTCAGCAATGAATCTTTTGCCCCAAACATACAGAGAATAATTCAATAGAACACCTGAGATAACAGGATTTTTAAGTCTCCCAACAAAGGCTGGGATGCACATGTTACTGAAGTTACTTTTTCAGATTTGAACCAATTAGTAATATACATTTGCAATTTCTTATATTCGTGATAACATTTTCTGGTATAGATTCTAGCTAGTTCTTTTTGGGTTAAGTCCCATCCGGGATTCAAACCCACACTCCCAGAGTGAGGCACTTAATCGCCAGCACACAAAGTCAGCGATCTAACCCAGCCACCAAGGCTTTCAAGAAATGAAAGTCTGACAACTGGAAGTCTAGATTTAGACTTGTCAGAGGGGTAAAAAAAAGTACCTTGATCAAGTGATCTTGACTAACAGTTGTCGGACTTTCATTTTGTGGACGCCCCGGTGGCTGTGTGGGTAAGATCGCTGAGCAAAGAAAACACTCGTTGATTGATTCGTTACCCAATTGATCGTACATTGTCTATATTGGTTAATGGAAGCAGTATAAACATTCACACATTAAAGGAGATCAGTTAAGTATGTGGGCTTGGTGTGAATGTGCGATCGCTTGTGTCCCCCGTAGATACGTAGCTACCTATACGAAGGTGAGAAGGGATTATGCCGGGGTAATCATCCAGGTAGAACTTCAAATGTACCTGCAGCCCATGTTTGGATAGCACCGAATTCAGGTCGTTCTCGTCGTCAGTTGAATGGCAATTAAGGAAGATTTATATTTAATTTGTGAACAAGATATTGAATGCGGGCTCACTTTCTGCATGTATTCCCTTCCAGCTGGATTAAGGTGTAAAGAAAGCATATTTATTAAAGGGAAGTTAGGGTGATCGGGATGATCGGGATTAGACTAATGCTTGTAGAGTATCACATTAACACAAAATACGTAACACATCGTGAAATATTGTGCATTTCTTTTTGGTGTCCGGTCTCCTGTTCCATTGTTTGTACATGCATTAACACTTCACTTACTGACTGAAACCCACAAACGTCATAAGCAAATTCTGCTGGCCAAATATACGATTCCGACAAGCATGTGTTTATGAATAAGTATCATGGTGATGATACCAGGTGTTCGCGAAAAGGTGGGCGTATCCTGCCCCACCGA